GGCTTGGAGGTGAGCAGAGGGCCTGGGGAGGGGGCAGGGCCTGAGGGGTAGGGGCAAGAGTGGGGAGAGAGGGTGGAGAGACTAGAATCTGAGACTGGAGTTGCAGTCAATTCTAATTGCTGCCATTTACAGCCCTCACTGCAACCTGATCAGTTTTAGTCGCCTAACACACACTAACCCATCGAAGCCTCGTACAGCTCAAGGATGGTGCTACGGTCCCCATCCAATGGAAGGCACTATCAGTCAGGGGATGCTCCAGTACTTTATATACCATTTGGAAATAAAAACTCTGCCAACCAAACTATGACCCATCCCAACCAAAGGAGTTAACATATGAACAGATGTGCACTGAGAATTGATTAAGTACAAAATGACTATCTCCATTCTACAGATGATGAAAGGGGAGCCCCGGGAGGTGAAGGACCTGCCCAGGGCCATGCTGCTCCTCCTCAGTGGGGAGCAGGGTCTGCACCTCAAGTCCACACTCTTCAGGAAACTCAGCCAGGGAAGGTCCTCAGTGACTGGGGTCAAGAGTAGGGGCAGATCAACCCAAAGAATGGGCTCAGAAATTAGGACCCAGGGGGTGAGGTCTGGGGGGTGGNCAAAGTCTGGAAAGGGGTCAGAGGGTGCTGAGGAAAGTGCTGGAGGTAAGTAACACGAAGTCAGAATCAGACCCTGGGATAGGTGACAGTAAGGGGAGGAACCAGAGGGCAGGTCCTGGGAAACTAGGCTCCTAGAAAACTCACACCCTGACCATCCTCCAAGGCTCCTGGAGGACAAACTAAGGCCCGACCAGCTGCCCCACCCTGAGCTCCTTCTGGGCCCAAGCCTCACCTACGAGCACCTCCTTCCGCTCCAGGATGCTCTTCTGCGGCAGCTGAGCCGCTGAGCTGCCCGAGTCGATGGCATTGTCCAGGAGGCCAGGGCCTGGGCGAGCACCCTTGGGCAGGTTCCCGGTTGGAGGTGATGGCTTAGCTGCAGCCCCACCTACGGCCACCACCTCATTGGCTGTGTCTGGCTGCGTCGTCTCTTCCTCCGGTAGCTCAAAGTCCCCACTGGGCCCGCCACTCACTGGTACCTCTGGCTCATCCCGGATGGTGGTCAGGAAGGACTCTGGAGTTGGGGTCTGTAGGGAGGACAGCATGAGACCAGGAGCCAGGCCCCAGCACCCCCTGCCACAGGGCAGCCCCC